GGAGACCCCAAAGCAGCCTCATCTGCCACTCCAAGCAGATCCTGGCTTTGCCCTGGATCACTGTACCTGCTTTCAGCACCTGTCAGCTCCATAGAGATCTGTGCTTATAGCAGCACCCAAAGGTGCTGGTGTCCCCTTGGCCCTAAATGTCTCCTCCTCCCCTTGCTGTGGGGCAACCCCAACAGGAGGAAGGTGGGGGGCATGCAGGGCATGGGGGGCTGTGTTTGGCATGGGGATTAGCAAGCTCCCAGAGTGATGGTGGTCTCCCCCCTCCCCACCGGACATGCAGGCAAATATTTGTGCCCAGACTTCGCAGGACAGCGAGAAGGAATTTCATTCTTGCGCCCACCTGCGGCTCCATTAACCCCTTCACTGCCCTGCAGGACAGAGTGAGAGGGGTGAGGTGCCCTCCTGGTACCCCCTGTGCCCCTCATTAGGGTGGGGAGCTCGGATGAGGAGCAGGATGGGAGAAGGGGACACAATGGGATCACCCCAAATGCCAGCAGAGCCAGTGGCAGAAGGTGCAAGGAAGAGGCTGGAGGGTTTGCCCATGGGCATCCTCTGGACAGCACCCAGGGCTTTGTGCTGGGTGCTGGGCAGCATGTGGACTACCGGGAATTGGGGAAAACCCTGCCAACATTCACCCCCCAAGCTGCGGCACCCCTGCCAAGGTGTTCTTTGCAAGCCCCTTTGCCCAGCAGCACGGCGGGACAGGCTGGTGGGGAGTGGAGTGGGCTGCAGAGGGCATTGGGAGCAGGATCGGACCACGGATGTTTATTGGTAATATGCAAACGTGAAATGGCCCAGAGGGGTCAGGAGATAGCCAGCCCCCGGGGCTGCCCGCACTCAGGGAGCGGACTGGCCCGGGTAGAGGGTCCTCTGCTGCCTGGCACCCCCAGAGCCCTGCTGTGCTCCTTTCCCTGGCCCCAGGGCCAGCTGTGCCCTGAGCAAACGGGGCTGTTTGCTCACACTGGGATTAGCTGCTTGCTTTGTTCCTTTGACTTTCTCCTCCCTTTATGCCGACCCTTTTATGGGGGCTTCAAAGGGGGCTGAGACCCCCCGCCCTGTCCCTGGAAGCCCACGTTTGCTTCCTATGTCTCCTCAGCCCCCCGCCTTGCACTGACATCCTGGGGGTGCCCACCGAGCACATCTGGGTGGCCTGCGGGTCAGCAGCTGTGCCACACGTC